CCTCCCGCGTTAACAATAATTCATCTATATCTCTTCTATTCGTGCAGCCCGCCTTCTCGCGCGTTCTCGTTCGGAGTTTTCATTTTTCTTCGTAATCTACATGCTCGGAGAAAGACTTGAAGGATGAAAATAAGTGCGGAGGTTAATGTACTTCCTGCTGAACTCGCGTGGATGCAGGGTTGAATGTATTCGTGACGATCAGCGACCTTTGCTCGATCCGAGTACGTTGTTTTGCCGTATGCGGCCAATATTGCGCACATGCGCGTCAATGCGTCATGTCGCCCGCGTATCTGAACACGCGGACGCCAAGTGATGTCACGAAAAATACGATGTATCATCTGTCTTGCAATTAGTGTTTTGACACGCGTCCGATTCAAACGCCCCTCTCTGTCGCTTAACCGGCTTAAACGGGTTAAGAGTCAGAGACAAAAGAGATTTTTCACGAGACGTTCTAGACGTCCGCGCGACAATATCGTTAAGAAAGCCAGACACGATACACGCTGAGGAAGGCCATCGAGTGCTGACCGCGGTCGTTTACATCGTCGTATATTTACGTTCGCTTTTGTTCGGCATTTCGGTTTTGTCGCGCGGAGCACCGCGACGTGCCTGGATTTTCACGTGATTCGCCAGCAAAAGCTTGCTTTTTCCAAACGCGGATAGCGCACCGACAAAATTTGTCGTCACTTGATACCAGTATAATTACACCAGATGTTCATTTGCGCGCTTCGTTACGCGACGGACATCGTGGTCGACTTCGTTTCAGTTTCAACGACAACCTTTCCGATCTGTTATTTATTCCATTTTCTCTTTGTATTTTGCGAGAAAAATGAAATTACATGAGTAAATCAAACGTACGCAACTTCTTAAAATCTTTCGAATCCATCGATTAACAGAAAGTTTCACTTGTTATTGATTGCTATACAATATTTTATAACAATAAATGTAATGAAATATTTTATCATGCATAAGTTATCGTTGAGTATAAACGAGTATTCGCGATTTCTCTCAATTCACATAGAAAACGGGTGCGATTCGCTGCGTGAAGAATCCCGCGAGAGGTGTTGTGGCTAAATTTTTTGCCCGCGTTACGTTCGCGCATTTTAACGACTCGCGCAACAAGGTCAGTCGGAATTAAACGTATAATTTACCGGTTTCCACGGCAGGATAATCGCCGTTTATAGAAAGCATCTGGGACATGGAACAGAACGATGAAATGGAAAAAAGACAATCGACATATATATATATATATATATATATATATATATATAATAAGGTGAAAGAAGGCGCGGGAACCTACTTTGGACGAAACCGTCCGTGACCTCCTAACACGAGCCCCGGAATAAAACCTGATCACGCTTCCTTTAATTAACGCGTGAAATGGTAAAAAGTATTATTTTTCGTTGTGAACAAAGAAGCGTCTCTCGGTAGCAGGAAAAATAACTTTTTATCGCTTATTTGCCGAACATTAGTTCGTAAGACGCAAATTGTGACTCAAGTAGACACGTGCTGGCTTCTTTGGGAACGTAGCGCGAGAGAATTCTCTACACGGAGAGAACTTTGTTTCAAAATTTACCCTGAAAATCATATAACTGTAGGACAATATGGCATTTTGAAGAACTGTATGAGAGTCGAAATTTTACTATATATTCTACTAGTAAAATGTATAGAGGAAAGTCCTCTATTATGAGATAAGTTTCTAATATGAGATAGTTTTCAATATGAGATAGTTTTCAAGTTTCTTGGTTCTAATATGAGATAATTTTCAACACCCGAATTCAAACACAAGTCTTTTTTCGCAACGATTACACAATCTAACAATGAATTTTCGACTAAACAGATTTCGCTCCAGGGACAACAAATTTATAGTGGAGTCAACAGATGGGGCCTATTAATTTAATAGAAATCCCGCTATCTCTCTCTCTCCCCTCTGCTAAACATTATAATTTATATTATTATAAAGTAGTAAAATGTATGGTAAAATTTCAAAAAACTCTTATACAGTTTTTCAAAGTGCCATATTGTCCCACGATTACATGATTTTCAGAATAAATTTTAAGAAAAAATTCTCTCCGCGTAGAAATATGTAATTTTCTCTTCGTTAAATTACGTCTTTTCGGGGGAATTTTTGAAAATTAAATTGTCGAACTAGCTGCAGATTTGAAACATAACATGTCACTTTCTATACTTCTATGATCAATATGGCTATAACGAAACGTCTTATTGTCATAACTCGCTAAATTACGTCGTATATTGCCATTGTATATTCCCGTATATATGTATATATAAATTTATATAAATTAATTTATATGAAATTCATATTAATTCTGCTGGTTTTATCTATAAGTGTGACTCTTTAATTTGTCTTTCAGATTTCTAATAATTAATTTTTTATATCTCCAAAGAGATCTCGAGTCAACGCTGTTTAATTTACTCTTTTGATATCGTTAAATCTCAATTTAATTTGTTCCTATTAAGATAACAATAGATATTCGAGTATATTCAGTATCGCGATTGTTAGTTGACTTTGTTCGCTTGCGTTTGACTTTCAACGATGTTCAATTCTTTCTCTTTATTACTTATTTGTTTGTTACCAAGTCTTTTTATTAGTTTTCCAATCTTCATCCAAAGATGTCGACATTTGAAGCCTTTCTCCTACGAGGAAATGGCTTGCGCAAGAGGAAAAAGACTTCTTAATCGGGAGTGCTTTATATACATATACACAGTACACTCACGCTGAGACCGCTCGTGATTTATTCGAACTTTTATCACGTTAATTGCTGCAGAGTACCCAATTCCATTCGTTCCAGCTTTGACATTTAAATATCAAGGAATTATCCGAGATTCCGTAACTCCGTTACGACTATTATTGTCCGAACTCCGAAAAGCTATTTTTGTTAAATAATGCAGAATGCATTTTAATAGCGCAGACCAGTTTCGAAGTTTCAATTTTTAGTCGATACTAAATTACCGTAAAAATAGCAACGCGTTATCGCGGCATTATGATAAGTGATGAGAGTGCGAGGAAGCGAGATTATAAATAATTCGAACGCGCGATGCGTATGAACAACCTCAGCGAGACCTTCCTTCAAAGTTGTATATATTTCACATCAATACATCGAGTTTTTGATACAAGGAGCGTCGTTGAAAGTCTTTTTGCTTATTTCCTAGACACGTAAGGAATATTTTTTCAAATTTAAATCACCCAAGTGTGTGCATCACTTATATATGACATTTTCAAATGTAGTAATATACATGAATCTTATCGCAAATTTGTATATACTCGAAAAACTATTCCACTCCATCATATATTACTTATAATTGCATATTACTTCAATGATTTTTCTCTCATCAAAAGCCCTTCAATTTATTAGTCTCATTACTGACGTTGTTATGCTCGCCAGATTATTTTAATTCTACAACTTTTATTACATTTAATTTTTTTTCTTTTATGTTTCTTTTATGTATATATCATAAATGAAGAATTTACAAATGGATTCTTTATAACGTTACGTTGAGCCGCGTCCTTTCGTTCGTGTTTATCACAAACCTGGTTTGTAATGGAACGAAAGCTTCACGGCTGCCGACCTTAACTTTGACCACATTCCGTTAACCACGAGATCATTAATCTCACAGAATCGGCCGTAACTCCCGTTCTAACAGCAGTGCGCAATCATTTACGAGTAACGCGCTGTAACGCCATCAATATCAGGTTATTAAATGCAAAGTTGTTGATATTAGCATTTTCTGTCTCTCATACGCTATTATCTTAATAAGTAAATTATTAGCTTTACGATTATGCATTGTATACATTGCTTCGAGAAATATTTTCGCTTATATTTAAGCAATTTTGATTTATCGCGGTTTGTTTTACGGCCCAATCAGCTGTGATTTACGAGCGGCATTTTCGTATGTGTTTAAAGAATAACAAAATGTAGCAAAGACAACTTAAATCTCACAAGACTTGAAACATCAATCAAAGCGTGCTTTTTTCTTATCGATCAAACAACTTGAGGTCTAAAGATACAAATTTTAGGCATTCACGAAATGTTTCAAAAATTTATATAAAAGAAACGTTGAGAAATTGTTGTACTACCAACAATCAGTAGACAGTAATCGTTACAGAGAATTACATTAAAAAATTTGAATCATCGAAAATATTTGACAATTTTCTCTAATAAAAATTAACACTGCTAATATTTGATTATTTGTACTTAAATTTGTGCTAAGAGATTATTGCTTTCATGACAGTATTAATAAAAGTTGTGTAATAATAGAATTACAGCACGTTTATTAATTCCTATAATAGGAGTCTCTGCAAATTTTGCTGAGTGTGTTTTAATCATTATCTGATTAAAATTTGCTTTAAAACAAGTCTTCAGAATTTGATTAATTAACATAATTAACTTTGGAAATTCAAGAATTAGAGAATAAAATCTGATTTAATTTTCTTGAAAGCAAAATTGATTCGAAATTGTTCTATAGTACGTAGTAAAAAATGATTGATCGAAAAGACATCGATTGACATCAAATCGCCATCTATTTGACATAGTTGACGTTAATTGGACATCGTTTCAATTACTCACTGGATATTGTTAAAAATGTTTCTAAAATTTACGAATTGGAAGATGCCGAGTTTTGGCCGATGATAGATTTGCTCTTTCAAATTGCATATACCTTTTACTTTTTAATTCTTTCTTCAAAATATACATCTGCCACTTTTTGACTAACGTGCGACTAACCCTGGTTTTCACCAACTCGTTTAACTTTGATCTTATTGTTAGGTTAAATCATCGTTTGTCTCTTTCTAAGGGGACAGTTAGAAAGAGATAAAGAATCAAGTAAACTAATTATAAGAGCAAAGTTAAACGACGTTGGTGAAAACTGGCATGAAACGAACAGGCTGACAAATCATATCGGTACAATCTGAAGACTCTCTGTCTTAAGTAATCAATAAATGATCCAAGAATCGATCAATCCCAATAATCTTGATTTCTACGAACCTAGAGACACTGAGACACCTGCTGACGGTGATCCATGATTTTTGCTCGGTCATCGCGGCGCGCAAGAGCTTTGGCCCGCAAATCCTGACGAGAACGTTGGTGCCCATTGTTGCGGAATTTCGTCTTGTGTACGAGGTTCGCGGGAGAGATCTCGATCTCGGTCTCTTGCGCGTTGCGAGAGAAGAAGCGGTAGAGGCAGAGAGAGAAAGAACAGAGAGACCGAAAATAGTGCAAGCACCAAGTAGAAAGCACGTGGGAGCAACGCACCCTGAGAACTGGCCGACAAGGAGTGAGAGTGGAACCATTTATATAGGCGCCCCTCTCCAATCGGCGCCTCAGGAGGTCCGAGAGAGAGTCGATCCGTGGGCTCTTCCAAGCCTCTACGCGGCGACGCGTGGAAGATCCCGCGATAAACAAACCACTCTGCCTCACCTGTTGTCGCCCACCTTATCGTACAGCAAGTCCGATTATGCCACGTGTCGAATACCGAAGCCTTCTAACTGACTCGCTGCTCCGAGTTAACGTTACTCGCCTCTATTTCACACATCATTGGCAGAAAGTGAGAAAGAGAAAAAGAGAACCGGAAAAGTGGAAATTGTGATTCGCTTATTGCTTTCAATGCTTGTCTTTATTGCGCAATGCTGGCTATTATTTATAAATCTTCCTCATATTTCTCGTCGACCGTTTACGAAAATGATGCTCCACTGATGCGAATAATCTCGCAATTAGCGCGCGGTCAATTAATTCAACGATTAAAGAGATAGCATTCATCAGGCACAACGAGAGTCGGGGGCTCGTCTGCGGTGTTAATTTTATCTTCCTCGTTTCGAGGAGAGACAGTGAATTATAAAGTAGACACGCTACGGATCCAGTTTACAGTTACCATGACTACACTCAAAAACTCGAATAGTTGGAGCCCAGCCACCACAGTGCTCACAAGTATACATATCTTTTATAACTCGACTCTGTCTTATTCGACGACGATGACTGACTCAGTATCACTCGAAAAGGACCCAAAAGAATAGGGTCGAAACGTTGTGTAATAAACTAATTAAATAACTAGCCAGTTGGGTTGACTATAAGTTTCCCGTCTCAATCTCAAGTCAAATGTGTTATATGTATAATAATACTAGGATAATTGGTAATACTCTTTTTCAATCAATAATGTAATAAGTAGAAATTTAAAAAGTACGAAATATAAATAGAATTTACTTGCTGTTCATAATTAAAATTGAGATGCATAAACAAACAGCAACGAGACGAATTAAAAGTTGTTGAGACATTTTGTGGTCGAAACGCCAATTGGTCGAACCACAATATGCAGGCGGATATGAAAGAAGAGAAATAAAATGTGTCACGCGCGGTTGACACGTTTATTGAATAAAAAATACTAACGTGGATAATGGAGCATTCAAAAGAGTGATTGTTCAAGTAGTTAATTGCCGTGAGAACCCCAAAGTGCTGAGAGTGGTCATTGACTTCCGAAAGATTAACTGATGTCGCTTTTACATATTTTCATTATTAGTTTATAAATAAATATTTGATGAATGTCAACATCCGAATATATCGGATTTGAGATGCTAATTAAATTATTATTTTACTTATTCACTTAAATATTTATTTAGATGTATAATTGAAATAATTTTATAATCACAAGTATTCATTATTTCTATGACACATAATAATATTAAAATAATGAAACATGTGAAATTATCACCAATAGTAATTTAATAATAAGTTAAATGCAAACAAATATTGAAATTATTAAATAGATGATTAAAGTGTGGTTAATTAGTTTGAAATTGTCTTTTATGTAAAGTGCAATTATATAATATGGACAGAGACAGAAAGGAGTGAGAAAGAATTGTATAAAATATAGAATATGTATAATTAGAGAAAGAGAAAAAATATAATATAATTATAAATAGTAAAGTATTTGTATATTATAACATATATAATTCACAAAATGATGATTTATTTCACATCAAAGATTGAATTAACCCGAATTAAGACTTAATATACCTACAAATGAATTCGCGAATTAACGTATAACCGATCGATATTTGAACAGGCACGAATGTAAGTATGCACTTTGTGTTCACGTGATCACTCACTCGTTTAATCAGTTCACGGACAATGTTTACGCGACGCGTTACGCACGATTAACACATACTCGAAAATGCTATGTCAAGATATCTGCATACATAAAAGACAAATCCACGTTAATTGATTATATCAAGATCACGGTGGGACAACTAGAATTGGTTAATAAATGTTGATGATTATTCGACGCGGGCGATACGATCGATTTAATGGACTTCGCACGTGACTAACTTTCACACGTGAATTTTTAATACGTACGCGTCCTCGAACACGTTATTAATACACGGACGATTTAATATTGACTAGCCTACTTTAATGCTTAAAAGCTCACGAGATGTACTTGCGCTTAAATTTAAAATTCTTAAATATTATTTTATGTATAATATAAATTGATAATACAGGTAACTGTATGATATTAAGACAACAGTTTAATTAAACACAATGTAAAATATAAAATATAGTATTTAAACTACACAATATCTGGAGAAATTTAAACATTTTAGCTTAATAAATGTAATAAGATTTGAGCTTATAATTAATCTAACTATTAATTATAGGTATGTATTATTAATTCAATGCGGAAATCGATATGTTTAAAAATTATAGAATTTTACAATGTAGAAACTGTTTCAGCAGATGCTTTTCTTATTGTATATAATTAGATAAATTGTTTTTTAAATATAATTTCTTAAATGTGATTAAATAAGTCTTTACGTAAAATCTCATACTAATTAATAAACATGAAAAATCTCTTAAACACTATATTTGTTATCAAAATTATAGAAAAATTATATTTTAACATGTAATAAGTCCTGTAAAAATACAGAAAAAGAGAAATATATAACTTTATGTAAAATCTGAAACTAATTCAATGCCTCAGAGGTAACAACAATGTTAAGTCACACATATTCTTTGCAAAAATGAGATTTTTATATTTTTTAATCAGCTTGATAATACTTCTCTTAACATTATAGTTATTAATATTACATAGTTTATTTTATCTATTATAATACAGTAAGTATTTATTATTTGTTGCATTTGAATTCCGAAAATGCCGAATCTGATTTTTCTAGATAAGTGAAAGACATAATGATATAGCTAAAAAGCGAGAGAGAAAGAGAGGGGGGAAGAGAGAAAGAAAAAGAAAAGAAAGAACGTTCTACAATTTCGAAATAAAAAAGCAAAAAGTGCCGAATTTCAAGTTTCTATCTTTTTGTTGAAAGACTTTTTCCGAGGGGGAAACCGCTGAGGGCATTGTGGTGTACAGGTTTGCGGCATTACTGGGCATTACTAGGGCATTTTTGGGGCATTACGTCTTGCTGAAGCATTCTAAAGATAAAATAAGATAAAATAAGATAAAAGAAGATAAATAAGATAAAAGAAGATAATATGATAAAGTAATGCCCACTGGGCATTAGTGGGCATTGGTGTACAAGATTTTGGTCAGCGGTTTCCCCCTCGACTTTTTCCTAAAATATTCCACTTATCTATCGATAATTCCTATGCAACTGACCTCTCCTCCTTACTTATTTGCCGTACGGAAAACAAAATATCAAGCTTTCTACTTATCTTATCATTGCTTACGAGATTTCTGTCCTTGTGAATATGGATAAATAATTACCCCCTTCTTTCTCTCTCTTTCGTTCTTATACTTTCTTTCATTCTCTTTTCTTCTTTACTTGTCTCACATTGTATGAATAAAACTAGTCGTACCATTTTATAAAATTAAGGTTTCATTAAAGCGTTTTATTAAATTTTCTTGATATATTTTTTATATATTAACTAACTATTTGAATATACAAGTATATTACAATTTAATTATTTAACATTTTTAGAACGTTTTTATAAAATGTTTCAGAATTACTCCAATCATTAATTGACTGACAAAAATATAATTTCATAAATTTTCCTACGTAAAAGTGCTTTACTTTTGAAAGGTTAAATTCACATCTCTCTTCATATAGCGATAATTATAAAAAAACAAAGAATTATATCCTCGGCGCGTGACTAACGAACGTCATTAAAGAGTTGGTGTTACCCTAATCAGTGAATTGTTAAAGCAGCTATTACGTCAATGTGATTAATTAATCACTATGAATTTGCGTTGGCTTTTCACATGTCAATTGTGAAAAATTGCTTGTTTTTATGAAGTACCGGTAATTGTTATATCAAGCATCATTAACTATGTGTTGGTCCGATGAAAATTTTATTTGTCTCTAACTTGCCGGGATAGAGATTCTGATATATAATTTTATCATTAAAAAACTGATATAATTGGGAAATATGAAATTTATGTATTCCCGATTTATTGCACTCTACAATGCTAATGTAAAAAATATAATTAAAATGTTAAGATAATTTGTCAATAATATAATTTTGTAAATTTATTTTCCGTAAAAAATTAATAAAATTTTATGTTAAAAACTTGCAAACATCGAAGAATCTTGCAGACCTCTTCATATTGATACAAACTAAAGGAGATTAGTACAATACAACATGGAATTATTAAATCGGTCATTAATGTCGATAAGATAACTGACGGACGAGCATATAAGTCACAACAAATTAGTACTTATTTCAGCATATATTTATAGCTGTTTCTTAATTTTATCGGCTTATTCTGACGATAATATTCGTTTCTAACCATTCAGCTGATTGCAAAATCGCGATGTATCGTTGACCTCTTCGTCGCTGTCTTCCGCAGATAAATGAGATCTCGCCTCTCACGAGACGTATGACGTCTAACGAATGACGATATTCAGGAAATTCGATTTCATGAACAAACCGTAAACAGATTATATCCACGGAGTTCAAAAAAATAAAGAGGGAATGTTGCAAAATCTTAACCTTTAATTATTATAATCTTTAATTATTTGGCAGTTTTTTCATCATTCACCGGGGATTTAAGTCCTCCAAAGGTTCTCTTTTAGGATGAAATTTATATTAATAAATGCATTAAAATAATGTGAAAATGCATTTCTAGATATATATCATAACATTATATATTTCAAACAAATAAAGTTAAATAGAGTAGTATTTTTATTATGATATAAATCAAACAAGCGAGAGCGCCTTTAGGTCCGAGTAAGATGTTGGTAGCCCAATAATTGTTATCTAAAATGTGAATTCATATATCGTTTTCCATCTTGTCCTGCGGGCCAGTTTCTTTTCGAACATAACAGTTTCATTTAGACGGAATCAT